AGAGAGAGAAACATCGACGTGAAAGGGACACATCGAGTGGCTGCCACCCCACGACCCAACCAGGGCCGGGGACAAACTGCAACTGAGGTACGTGCCCTTAGCGGGAACCGAACCCGGGTCTCTCTGGACCCAAGGCCGACTCTCTAACCGCTGAGCCAAACCGGCCAGGGCTGGCTCCACTAGTTACTGGCTGTGAGATCTCATGTAAATGAACCTCTCTGAGCTTTAGTTTTCGTTTGTTTGTTTTAATTAAGGTAAAATTCACATAACATAAAATTAATGATTTGAACACCTCACAGCATATTCACAGTGTTATGCAACCACCATTTCTATCTAGTTGCAAAACATTTTTATCACCCCAAAATAAAACTGTTAAGCCGTTATTCTCTGTTGTTCACCTCCATACCCCATCTCCTTCTGCCTCTGGCAACCACCAACCTTCTTTCTGTCTCTATGTATTTACCTATTCTAGATATTTCATGTAAATGGAATCATCTAATGTATAACATTTTGTGTCTTGCTTTTTTTACTTAACATTGTTTTCAATATGTTGCTATATGTTGTCATTTGTATCAGTATTTTATTCCTTTTTATGACTAAATAGCACTCCGCTGTGTACATAATACCACATTTTGTTTATCCATTTATGTGTTGGGTTCACTTGGGTTTTTTTCCACCTTTCGACATTGTGAATAATGCTACAATGAACATTGGTATACAAGTATCTGTTGAGGCCATGAATTCAATTCTTTTGGTCATATACCTAGGAGTGAAATTGCTGGATCACATCATAACTCTGTTTAACTGTTTGAGGAACCACCAGTTTATCGCAGTGACTGCACCGTTCTACATTTCCATCAACAGACAAGGGTTCCAATTTCTCTACATCCTCACTAACACTTGTAATGTTCTGTTTGTTTGGGTTTTTTTTACATTGTTGTTTTATAATAGCCATCCTAATGGGTATGAAGTAGTACCTCATTGTGTTGTTTTTGGTTTTTAAGATTTGTTGTTGTTGTTGTTGATTTTGAGAGAGAGAAGAAGGGCAAAGGAGAGAGAGGGGAAAACATTGATGTGAGAGCAGAACATTGATTGGCTGCCTCTTGCATGCCCGCCTCTGGGGATGAAGCCCACAACCCCAGGCATGTGCCCTGACCGGAATGGAACCAGTAACCTTTCGATGCACATGACAGTGCCCAACCAACTGAGCCACACTGGCCAGGGTTCATTGTGGTTTTGATTTACATTTTCTCAATGATTAGTAATGTTGAGCATCTTTTTATATGCTTATTGGTTATTTGTAGATCTTCTTTGGTGAAATGTCTGTTCAAGTTCTTTACCCATTTTTGAATCAGTTTGCTGAGTTTTTTGTTGTTGAATTGTAGTTCTTTATATATTCTGGATATTAATTCCAGAATACATGATTTACAAATATGTCTTCCATTCCGTGGGTTGCCATTTCATTTTGTCAATAGTGTCCATTGATACACAACAGTGTTTCATTTTTAAGAAGTCCAATTTATCCATTTTTTGCTTTTGTTGCCTGTGCCTTTAGTGTCATATCCAGAAAGCATTGCCAAACCCAATATCATTAAACTTTGCCTTATGTTTGCTTTTAAAAGTTTTACAGTTTTGGGTTTTACATTTATGTCTTTGATAGATTTTAATTTTGTAGATGGTATAAGGTAAGGGTTCCATCTCTTTTTTTTTTTTTGCATGTGATATCCAGTTTTTCCAGCACCATTTGTTGAAAAGCCTGTCCGTTCCCCATTGAAGGATCCTTGTCTAAAATCACTTGACTTGACTATATATGTGAGGGTTTATTTTGGGGCTCTCTATTCTGTTCCATTGATTTATATGTCTGTCTTTATGCCAGTACAATATTGATTACTGTAGCACTGTAAGTTTTGAAATCAGGAAGTGTTGAGTCCTCCAGCTTTGTTCTTCTTTTTCAAGATTGTTTTGATTATCTGGGGGTCCTTTGAGACTCCACATGAATTTAATTTTTTTTATTAAAATTTTTTTTTCTTTATTCTTTTTGTGGTGTGTGCCCCTAGCGGGAACTGAACCTGGGACTCTCTGGTCCATCAGTCGATGCTCAACCGCTGAGCCAAACTGGCCAGGCTCTTTTTCTTTATTGATTTTAGAGAGAGAGGAAGGGAGAGAGAGAGAGAGAGAAAGAGTTAGAAACATCAATGAGAGAGAACATTGATTGTCGGCCTCCTGCACATCCCCCACTGGGGATCAAGCCCACAGCCTGGGCATGTGCCCTGACCGGGAATTGAACTGATGACCTCTTGGTGCATGGGTTGGTGCTCAATCACTGAGTCACACCGGCCAGGCTCCACATGATTTTTAGGATGAATTTTTCTGTTTCTGCAAAAGCTCTGTTGGGATTTAATAGGGATTGCATCAAATCTGTACATTGCCTTGGGCAGTATTGATATCTTAACAGTTCAACATAGATATCTTTCCATTTATTTGTATCTATTAATTTCTTTTAGCAACATTTTCTAGTTTTTAGTGTGCAAGTCTTTTTTTCTCTTTGGTTAAGCTTATTCCTAAGTAATTTATTCTTTAGATGCTAGTATAAGTGAAATTTTCTTAATTTCCTTTTCAGATTGCTCAGCGTTAGTGCATAGAAATGCAACTAGCCTGGCCAGTGTGGCTCAGTGATTGAGCATCGACCCATGCACCAAGAGGTCGCCGGTTCGATTCCCAGTCAGGGCACATGCCCAGGTTGTGGGCCCAATCCTCAATGGGGGTTGTGCAGGAGGTGGCCAGTCAATGTTCTCTTTCATCGATGTTTCTATCGCTCTCTCCCTCTCCCTTCCTTTCTCTCTCAAAATCAATAAAAGGAAAAAAATTAAAAAAATAAAAAGAAATGCAACTGATTTCTGTGTTGAGTTGGTATCCTACAACTTTGCTGAATTGGTTTATTAGCTCTAATTTTTTTGGGGGGGGGCATGGAATCTTTAGAATTTTCTACATATAAGATTATGTCATCTATGAACAGAAATAATTTTATTTCTTCTTTTCCAATTTGGATATCTTTTATTTCTTTTTCTTGCCTAATTTCTCTGGCTAGCACTTTCAGTTTTATGTTGAGTAGAAGTGTGAAAGTAGGTATCCTTGTCTTATTCCTGATCTCAGAGAAAAAGTTTCAGTTTTTTGTCACTGAACATGTTAGTTATGGCTTTTCATATAGGGCCTTTATTGTATTGATGTAGTCTCCTACTCCTAGTTTGTTGAGTGTTTTGTTTTAATCGCAAAAGGGCCTATTTAGTTGCTTTTCATATTTTTCATGTCTAATTGTTCTGGCTAGAACTTCCAGTGCAATGTTAAATAGCAGTGGTGAAAACAGACATTTTTGTCTCATTCCTGGTCTTAAGGAGAAAGCTTTCAAAACTTGTGGTATTTCACCATTGAGTACAATGTTAGTTGTTGATTTAAAAAAAATTTTTTTTTTCTTTATTGATTTTAGAGAGAAAGGAAGGGAGAGGGAGATAGAAACATCGATGAGAGAGAAAAGACATCGATTGGCCACCTCCTGCATGCCCTTGACTGGGGATCAGGACCATAACCTGGGCAAGTGCCCTGACCGAGAATTGAACCAGCGACCTTCTAGTGCATGGGTCAACACTCAACCACTGAGCCACATTGGCTGGGGGGTGCTGAGTGTTTTTATCATGAAAGACAACTTTGTCTCTGGGGGTATACATGTGTGATGAGGGTGAGCAGATCCTCATGGCCCTGGAGCCCAGGGCCCCTCACATTTCCCACCCAGCCCTAACACAGGATTGTTTACAAGGAACCTGAACCATTAAAACTTGGGCTCTAAAGTGATATAGGAGTGGTCACTGAGTGAGCTTTCAGGAGTTACAATAAGAGGTCAGAAATGACCCATCCCAGCCTGCCCAGCAAAACCCTGAAATCCAGCTAGGACTACCTATTTCTTTTCTTTCCTGTATCCATGCCTTTTCCCATGCTGTTCTGTGTTGCAAGGCCTCCTAATGCTTAAAAGCCTTTCTTTAGAAAGTCCTCCATTGCATAAAAATGCCCTTGCTTAAGGGAGCAGAGAACCTCCAGAGGTTTTGAGCATGCTGCTTTCTAACCCATGAGCTTGCTATTTCTAGATGGTTACAAAAATTAGTTTAAATAGGCAGAGCCCTAACTTCCAGAGGATAATCTAAGTGGAAATCCACGTGTATATGTGTGTGATACAGTGACAACATTTAATTCAGGTACAAGTGACTGACACAAGTGAGCCTTTCTGGAAAGTCTCTTCAGACAAGGGAGAAAAGGTATCAAGCTAAAATTTCTTGTCTCAGAAGCCAGGGGACTAAGTGAGAATGGAAAATTTTAGAACACCTAAAAGCTATGATCCTTTTTGAAGCACCTTCTGCAGCTCTCACTTCCCATTGAGAGTCCGGGAATACACACTTGTATTTTTATAAACTAATTTGCTCTGAAAATAACTAGGTTATGCCATATCTAGAGGTGTGATGGGCCGGAAAAAAGGTGGGAAAGAGAAAGAATTTTTTTTAATTCACTGATTTTATAAAGAAAGCAAAACTTGCTTTCAGAATTTTTTGTTTTTTCACCTAGCCAATGTTCAGAGGAGGAAGAGAGCCCGGGGTTGTAATGGAGACAGCGGACACAATAAGCTCTTCTCCTTAACTGGAGCCCACGTGGCAGTAATTATCAACTTGAGGAAGAAGAATCTGCACCCTTGTCCTCCCCTTAAGTGGCAGTGATCGAGAGAGCGATTCTTGCGCCGGCTTCTTTTCCAGGGAATTCTGAGGACAGCTTCGGCCAGCAGGAGAGAGATGGTGCGCACCGATTTCGGGGTGCTCGAGGGCGGCGCAAACCTCTGGAGGCGGCGACGGTAGTAGTAGCAACAATCACCGGTAGCCCCGGCAATGAGCGCGCCCCGGCGTGCCGCCCCGTTTCCCGCGCCAGGCACTTTCATCTCAGGCGATCTTACGGAGCCCTCAAGGTTACCCCCAAGTGAGGAATGAGGGGGAGCCGACGCTCAGCTGCAGCCCTGGGTGGCCAGCGCGCCTCGGCGGTGGCTGGCGCGGTGCAGACCCTTCCCGTCGGACCCGGCCCTGGAAGCAGTCCCAGGTGGATTCCGTCACCCCGGAGACGCTCAGCCGCGGCGCCGACGGCGCGAGCGGGGGAGGAGTCGCGGTCCACCTGGCGCGGGGGAGAACCGCCGCCGCCTGCTCGCAGCGGAACGTTCCTGTCGGCGGCGTGTGTTCCCGCCCGGGCGGCCGGGCGCGCGGGCCGGGAGGGGGACGCTTTCCAGCGCGGACCGCCAGCGGGGGCTGCGAGCGCCGCCGCCAGAGAAGCCCGGAGCTCGGTGGGAGCCCATCGGCGGCGCCCGGGCCTGGCCGCTGCTTCCCGCCCCCGCCGCCGCCGCCGCCGACACCGCCGAGGCGGGCGGAGCGGAACGTGAGGCCCTCGGCCCGGCCGGGCCCGGCCCGGAGCCGCGGCGCGGGAGGTGAGTGCGGTGCCGGCCCCGCTCCCTGCTCGGGCCGATGGGACCCGCAACAATGGGGGCCCAGTGGGACGCGGCCCGGGGCCCTGGCGCTCAGCGGCCTGGGACAGCGAGGCGGGCCCGGCGGCCCGGCCTTAGGCGCTGGGTCCGACCGGGGAACTCCGGTGGCCGGGGGCTTGGAGGGGATCTTAGCTTCGACCCGGGGCCTCGGTGGCCCGATATTTCGTGTTTTTGTAGCCGGGGAAGGGAGTCGTAGGGGCACGGACACAACTCTAGCGGCGTTCGCTGTTGGCCCTGGATGCAGACGCCGTGGAGGTTGCCCATTGTGGGGTGAAGGTGGGGGCTCGCGTTCGGAATTCGGGGGGCCTCGGTGTGCCTGGACCCGAAGGCGCATCGCGATGCGCCTTTCTCCCCGAGGGCTGTGAACTTGGCCGACTGGGGTCTGGCCGGGGAGACCAGGCATCGAGAGTTTAGCTTCTCTGAGAGTAGTTCCTGGGAAGGCTGGAGCTCACCTGGGCCCGAATGCAGCCTGTCATCGTTCAGTGGTTCTCAGGCAGGGAACTTGGCACAGGAGTGTCCCAGTGAGTAGTGTTGGCTGCTTTGGCGTTAGAGTGAGGCTGGGGTGTCGAGAAGGCTGGTAGGCCTGCCGAGGTCGGAGAATTTGCTGTATGTGGGCCATGGTGTGGCTGCCTGGGAGATGAACAGGGGAACTTCGCAGAGTGGGCTTCCTCACAAGGAATGACCTCTTCCCGCGGGGGAGTGGGTGACTCAGATCTGTTAGAATTCTGCTGCTTGCCAGTGGACGTGGCGGACCGGATTGGGTGATGGGGCAGGGAGGGGCGTTTGGGGGCTTAGTGAGTTTGTTCCTGAGTAGAAAACAGTGTGGACCATTCCTTCTTACTCCAAGTCAGAATGGTCGCTATCCTTGACAATATTTTAAGTAAAGAATTTCTTTGTGGTATGTTGAGTCAAAGCTTTCCTCTGTTCATTTTTTTCCTCCTTTGTTTTTGAATTGTGACTCATACTTTCTTTTCAGCACTGTGGCTATTGTTTGTAATGATGGACAAACTGAGACACCACAATATATGTAAATTCTAGGGGGTTTCAGTCCAGTTTTAATAAATCTAAATTAAGGGCCTGTTTTCACTTGTTTCAGTGTTGTGTAATGTGTGCAACTCTAGAAAGGAATGTGAAGACTCTAACAGTTTATGTTAAAAGTTCTTTATGGGTCAAATGTGTAGTGATGGAAGGAGACTTGACTGGGTAGTGAACACACAATGCAGTATACAGATGGTTTATTATAGAATTGTACACTTTAAACCTATATCATCTTGTTAACCATTGTTACCCAATAAATTTGTTATATTTTTTAAGCCTCACCTGAGGATAGTTTTCTATTTATCTTCAGATAGAATGGGAGGGAGGGAGGGAAAGAAACATCGATGTGAGAGCGACACATTGACTGGTTGCCTCCTACACAACCTTGACCAGGGCCCGGGACGGGTGCAACTGAGTTATGTGCCCTTGACCAGAATCGAACCTGCGACTCATTGGTCTGTGGGCCAACGCTCTATCCACTGAGCCAAACCAGCCAGGGCCAATACATTTAATTTAAAAAATTTAAAGTTCTTTATATCCCTACGTTCACGAAACTTTCCTACTGCTAAAAAGTCATTAAATTGAATCTGTTAAATGTTAATCACTGTCGGCTCTCACAAGACATTATCTTCACTAGAAATGTTACCTATCTTCAGTGAATTTAGACTGTAAACTAGGTCTCTTCTTTATCATTGAGTGTGCAAACTTCAGTTCTCAGGCCTGCAACTGTGCACCAGAGCTCTGTATGTAGTATTTGTGCAAAAGTTGGTGTGTTGTCTGTGGATGAGATATCAAACCCTATGTGAAAAAAACTGGACCAGAATCATTGTATGTATGCATTTATTTGGAGTGTTAGGGGGTACTGCCTAGCTGGAATCTGGTATGCATTTCCAGGTGAGACGTGAGGTAAATTTGATTGTTTGTAGTTGTATTGATAGTCCTGGGGATTGTTTTTCCCCCTAATCTTTGAAAAACTATGTATTTTTCCTTAATTGTGCTCTTTGTTTGTCTCTCTTAAATGTTCTGTCTTCAGTAATTCATTCTTTAATAAACCAATATCTGTTGAATTACGCCAGGCACTGGGTCGGACACCTCCACAATGGTGATATTTTTGACATTTTAGTGATAGTTGTTCTTAATTCAGAAGTGGTTATAGGCCTGTGAAGGAAGAAGAGATTCAGGTATATCAAACTTCTGATCAGTAAAGCTGTTGTATAATGTTTTTTATAAAGTATTGACTTTTATGAGTGACAATTGATTATCTTCATATATTTCCATAGAAAAAGTTTAGCTGTAATGTCTTTACATTGGTATGGGATTGTTTTTGCATTGTTTTATTTAAACACACTTGTTAACTTTAAGTACTCCTGTAGACAAACCACAAGGTAAACATTTTGTTTGTGTGTCTGGATGCACAGCGATTTACGGATAATGTGTATGAGCTCAGGTTCCCCAGGAAGCTGTCACACTTTTTTTTCTCACTGTGGTTTTGGGAGAATGAAGGCGTTACTTCCTTCCTTTGTCTGGGTCACTGTAAGTAGGCTGGAGTGTCTCCTGATCACTTGGAGTGCTGTCCCCTAGAACAGGAAGAGTAAGATTGAGGTGGGACAGTCTTTTTGAAATTGCCTCTTAATTTTTTCCTGCATAAAATATAATGTAAATTATATTTGAATATTTTTTTGCTTTAATTGCTAATCTCCATTCTGATCTGGTAAAATGGAATTTTGTCCTTTGCTCTCTTTATCTCTCTGTGTATATATTTGGCCTAAAACGAATAAATGTAAAATCAAGGCAGTTAGATAATAAATACAGTGTGTGTATGTGTGTTGTCCTGGCTGGTTTGGCTCAACAGTTAGACTGTGTGCCCAAGGACCAAAGGATCAAGGGTTTGATTCCGGTCAAGGGCACATACCTGGGTTTCAGGTTCAATCCCTGGCCCTGGTTGGGGTTGTGCAGGAGGCAACCAATCGATGTGATATCTATCTATCTATCTATCTATCTATCTATCTATCTAGATATAGATATTTTAGAGAGAGAGGAAGAGAAAAACATGGATCAACTACCTCCTGCATGTCCCCTACTGGGAATCGAGCCCGAAACCAGGAATTGAACCAGTGTCCCCTTGGACACTCAACTAACTGAGCCACAACGGCCAGGGTAATAAATACATTCTTTGAAATATCCAAGAAAATGAAAACTGGTTTATTTATTCTTTGAAGGCAAAGTGATTGCTCAAAGAAATGATTTGATTACCTCTTAGTCAAATGGATGAACTTAAGAAACTCTTAGAAAGAAGGCTTAGAGTTTTTTATTTCATTAGAAAACTTCTGAGGTGCCTAGTAGAATGGGAAGAGCATGGTCTCTGGAGTTATTCCACCTCTAACTTTTGCTTACTTTTTGACCTGGGTAAACTGGTAACCTCTCTGAGTCTTGCTTCTTATTTTATTCAGTTTTTTCCCACCTGTATAATGAGGCTAATATAACCTTCTCTGCAGATTGTGAGGAGGACTGGAGATGAGGGCATAGGGCTCCATGGTGGTAAGGGTTTGCTGTTAGGAGGTAATGTAGTTGGGGGTAGCGATAGGGGATACTGTTCTCTGTAATACTAGTATTAGGAGTGTAGCTGGGTGCTATGTATGGATGAGAGGCTGTTTCCTTGTCTGGTGAGGAAGGCAACCCAGTGTCTTCACCCATTAGCACCCTGGACAAAGTACTACAGTCGGCAAGAGTCCACAGTATACAGTCCAAGGTTATTCCCAGCACTGTTAGGTTTTTTGTTTTTTGTTTTCCCCTTGAAAGTTTCTATGGAAAAGCCAGGACGTAACTATTTGGCATATCCTAGTCTGGGGAAGAGTGGGCATTCCCATTGACAGGGTGCTAGAGTATGCCGAGCAGCATTGTGTTCTGTGTGCCCCCTATTTTGGATGTTTCTGTAGCTGCTGTTGCCATCAGAGATTTGACTTGGGTCTTTTTGCCTGCAAGGCTTCAGATGTTGGAAAGATGTCGTCTTTCTCTGATTTGTGCTACTTTGATAGAATCTAGCACTCTGTTCAGAAATGTTTTTGATTAACAGAAGATTCACAGGTTTTGTTATAGGCTTGTTCAGTTTTATTTTTTCCCTAGGGGGGTGGAGGCAAGAGAAAAATTAGTACAAGCCAGACAGAAGTGATTAAAAATAACTAGCTCTAAATCTCTTCTAGTCTTCCTTACTCAAATCCCTCCTCTGTGCTAGGTGGTCTTGAACTCTAGTTAAAAGTAAGTAATATTCCTATGGCCTGAAAATACCATGAATATCTAGACCCAGTGTCTGTGTGTCAACATCCTACAAGGACCTTTATGACCTGACCTCTTCTGTATCTTCTGTCCTAGTCCCTCCTCTGCCACAATTCCTCTGGCACTTAAGGCTCCATAGTGGACTCCTGGAAGGTCCCAGCATGCTCAGGCTCTTCTTCCTGCTAGTTATCCTCTCCATCCTTGTACTTGTCTGACTCTTAGGCTTGAATTGACCGGGAAAACCAGCACTACCATCTCTTAAAAGCCTTCCTTGATTCTTTCCAGATTAAGCTGAATGCCTCTCCTTTGCATGGCCTACGCATTCTGTGTCAGCTTTTTCCCATAATCATACTGTACTCTTAACTTTTGTGTTTTCCATGCCTACGTTGTGAACTAGGCAGGAACTTCTCTTATTTATTTATTTTAAAAAGTTTTTTTTTTCTTTATTGATTTTAGAGAGACAGGGAGAGGGAGAGAGAGATAGAAACATCAATGAGAGAGAACATCGATTGGCTGCCTCCTGCATGCCCCCCGCTGGGGATTTGGCCCACAACCTGAGCTTGTGCCTTGACCAGGAATTGAACAGGCGACCTCAGGACCTCAACTACTGAGCCACACCTGCTGGGCCTCTTATTTATTTATATATCCCAGTATGTAGCCATTTCTGACACAGAGTAGCTACTCAGTAAATGTTTGTTGAGAGAACGAGTGAATGGCCTCTGCATATGAAATGACTGGAAGTCATTCCTGTGGAGTTGGTGATATGACGAGAGTTCTGACTTCATGGCTGCATCTGATTTTTGTATTTCCAAAGACAACATTCCTTTGCCTTTGTATTTGTAGGTTGCTAAAAGCAATACTTAATTTTGTTGTGAAAATGTGTTGCTTATTTTATACATTCATGGTTTTGAGGGGTTGGGGGAGCTATAAGTTGCTCTCTTTGGGTCTTGCAAAAGTTTCCCTTGGAAGAGAATGTAACAGTTCTTCATTGGTACTATCAGGAGATTTTCCATTGCCCATTTA